CAACTTACAGACCCAAGAAATTCAATAAACATGAAATAAAGTTTTATGTGTAGGCACATTATAGTCAAACTATAGATCAAAGACACACAAAAAACCTTAAAAACGGACAGGCAGATAAAAGGAGTTGTAGCATCATCAATAAAGGAATAAGAAGACCGATTCTCAACAAAACAGAGAAAGCCCAAAGGTAAGAGAGTGCTTTATATAAAATAATAATTGCTAAGCTAGAATTCTAAAATCAGTGAAAATATGTCTTAAAAATAAATGCTGAATATTTCTCAAACCACCAAAAAACTGAGAGAATGAATCATTAGCAGACCTCCATCAAAGAAAATACTTAAGGGAGTTCCTCAGGCACAAGGAAATTAATCCCACATGGAGACATGAAAATGCAAAGAAATGAAGTACTGACTATATGAAACAATATGTTGTGCAATTTAAAATACATGTACAATTTTCAAGTGGCAAGGATGGTCCAAAAGGCAGTGGTTGGTAAGTGTACTTCAAGTGACTTGAAGTCACAGTACCATCTATATGAAGAGTAATTAAGAACATGATATGATATGAATGTTTGTCTTCCCCAGAATTAATGTGAAAATTTTAACCTTCAAGGTGATGTTACCAGGAGCTGAAGATTTTGGCAAGTGATTCGATCAGAAGGTAGAGCCCACATGAATGACACTAGTGCCCTTATACAGAGACTTGGGAGAGCTCATTGGCCCTTTTTGCCATGTGAGGTTATAAGGAGAATGCCATCAGGCTATGAAAGAGGGCTTTCACCAGATAGTGACATCCTTGGCACTTTGATTTTGGATTTATCAACTTCTAGAACTCTAGGAAATATAATTTTCTTATTTATCAGTCTAAGGTATTTTGTTAAAGCAGCTCAAATTGTCCAAGACAGAACACTATTTCCATTACAGTTAGAAAATATAGACTTCTATTTTGACTAACATTAGGATTTTGTATTTTAATCCCCAATGGAATCTTATAAGTATATAACATTTATATATATGATTTCCTTTAATATGTAGTATTCTTTATCTGTATTTCAGCAATATATAATGTATGTATATACAAGTACGTATCCATAATATGCATATACAAACAATTGTTTTTAGAGCAACAGAGCCTCTTAACTTCTGAACAGCAACACAGATTAGCAATCAAAGTCAACTAATAATAAAAAGACAAAGTATGACAATGAGAATACTTGTATAACATGTATTTTAAAAAATCATGTCACAAAATCTTCAAAGAAATTAGTTCCACACAGCAAGGTTGCTACTGGAAAAATAAGAAAACTTTAGAAACCAGACATCCTGTCTCCTTCAGTGCTAAAATAGTATGTTATGTTTATAAGAAACAGCAAGATAAAAACATAAGTAAACAAAATCTGCCAGAAAATAGTCAACGGTAAAATACATATTCACATTTTAGAACAGCAAATTAATGATAGGATATATTTGATAAACACGTCCATGTCCAGAATGCAGACTATATTATGGAACAAAAAAACACAATATTTTTTGTTATCATATGGAAGATGCAAAAATGAGAATAGTGAGACAAGTTCCAAGAAGAAAGTAAACAGACAGGACTGCAACATAAGAAGACAGAGTATAATCTGGGAGTGGCAGTGTTGGCAGGATGTGAGACAGCATTCTAGTTATGGCACTACTGTTAATTTATCAGTTTTGCTTTGTTGAGATAAGGTCTGACTGGGTAGCTCAGAGTGGCCTTGAGTTTGCAGTGATCCTCTTGCCTCTGCTTCGGAGGGCTGGTGTTACAGGCATGCACCACCACAACTGGCTGCAGTACTGCTCTAACAACACAAATCACATACATTTTGCATTCTAGTTGGCATGGAATAAATAAGTGATGCAGAGCAATGGCAGTGAGAGTGTTATTAAGGAAATAAAGCAGCATAAAAGAATACACAGTGAAAAATAGGTCATGGTGAATTTAGAAAGATGACCAGGGAACCCCTATGAGGAGGCAATTTTGAGTAAAGACCTGAATGAAGGCAGAGGTGGAGTTTCCAGGTAGAAAGACAGGTATAGACTAGGAAGGTACAGAGAAAATTGTAAATAGTTTTATAACTTGGAATAATATGATCGAAGACGGATCCTTTAAAACATTTCCTTTTGTAATCGTAGATCATATAATGGAAAATTATATAAACCATGCAATTTAATTAATGATATTGAAATATTTTTCGTGTCCCATCCATTTAAAAGGCCAGTCTCGTCTCTCTCTCTCTACCAAAAGAATGCCAGTGAACTTCTATAAGCATGCCTTGAAATTTTTCTTTAAATTGTTTTTCTTCTGACCATCTGAATCCAGGAACTGTGTGAGGCAAAAGTGAGCACGCTAATTTGGTAGTTTAGTATACATCTAAATTTAAATGTTTTTCCACATTCAACACATTTTTACACAAAATTTGTTTAAAATCTTTGCTACGACTTTGGCAAAAAAGTGAAAAAAGTTGCAGATCTAAATCCTCCTGAGACACAAGCACAATTTTATATCCTGCAAATTAAATGTGTAAAACTTAATACATACACATCCTCCAAACAGTTTACTGGCAATAAGGTTGGAAATAATTCAAGTGACTAAAATAATTTTATATAGGTTGGCTTGCAAGTCATGAAAGGATAACTCTATTCAGCCTGAGCAGATACCTGTTCTGGTAAGGTCGTCCCTCTGTCCCAGGTGTCTCCATACTCAAACACATTCACTGTCCTGTCTGTCCCCATAGCAGTTGTTCCATGCTCCATTCCTACTGCTAAATTGTCTGGTGTCTATTTCCATTTTCTTATTTCTTCCTCTTCCCACCAGTAGATTGTGAGAACCTCTGTTTAATTCATCTTGATTTTCCATCCTTAACATAGTGCCTGGCACTCACATGTTAAGAATTGTATTGTCAATTTTGTGCAATCCTGTTACCAAGTAGAGCAAGATAAACCCTGCCTTAGACTAGACTAGTTCACAGCCTAGCTGGAGAGACAATATATACATGAATAATTGGTCTACAGAGTGACTGATGCACTCAAGAACATATATATCAGGCCTGAAGTTGCATTTCTGAGGAAATAACTCTTGAGCTGAGTTGTTCAACAAGCATTAAGCGTTAACTCTGCAGTGATATGCCAGATGGCTAGAGAATACAGAATTGAATAGAAAGAACATTTACCTCCTCTCCGAAGATTTACAACCTGGAATTAATAGTTTGAGTAAGAAATCACAGGTAGTAAATAAAAGTAGCAAGGCTGATGGCCAGTTTGCTGAACTGTTAAAATACTAAATTCTTCTACACCAGTGGTAAGCAGGCACCCTCCATTTGTTAATTATTCTGCCTCCCCTCAGTACCCCCAATCCCAACTCCCAGGGTCCTCAGACTTCCAGTGCACTAGCAACCAATGAATGGGTCAATACTCCTGAGCACTAAATATTTTATGTTATCCCAGGGGATGCACTTGGCCTGGGGAAAGGGGATTAGAAAAGTTGAAATAACAGTGAGAATTTGGCAAACAGCAGTTAAAGGCCAGAGTATGAAGTTCAAGCTGGGGAAGACAGGAAATGGAATTGAAGAGAAGGGCAATGAAGAGCCACTGAAAGATTTTAAGCAGATCTGCTTTTCAAAAATCATAATTCTGACCGAGTTTAGTATATAAGTGTTCACTAATGTTTGTTCAAAGATCATGGTGCTAATAAACTATTAGCAGTAACAAATGCTCTTGCTATGCATGTGTTTTGCTATTGCTCTTTCTGTTCCTGCTTGCTAATGATGAAAGAGCACCCACATTTGCAAGATGGCTAGTCATTATTTGGGATCTTGTCTGCTGATAAAACAAGAAAAGAGACCAAATGAGCAGAAGGAATTGATCCAGAGACTGTTTTCCTCAGCACAAATCTCTAACTAAGAAGAGGGAAAAGGAAGGCAGGCTTTATAAATGCTATAGACTTTCATGTAGGGAATTTGCTTCCTACTTGTACAAATTACAGAATCTATTATTCTACTATTACTCCCCTTTGCAACTGGTGATTTCAGTATTATAGACTTGGACTCTGAGTAACCACCTGAGGGAAATTCAAACTTGGTTGATGTGAAATGATTTTTTCCATTTCACTTATAACTTTATATCAAATAGTGATTGGATGCTGATAAATGGGTTTGTTTATTCATTACTGTGAACAGGCCTGAAATCCTTCAAAGGTTTGAATTAAAAAGTGCCAATAAAAAAGGCTTGATTGTATGAAAGTATTGATAGAATTGGTTCTCTATTACTTTAATCCCTTATTTCGGTAAGAGAGAATGTGTTTCTCATTAATGGATGTCCAATTAGATGATAACTAAACATCTAAAACAAGACCTGAACATAGTTCACTGTTCTTCCTAACTGGCAGCCATTAAACTGTAGTTACTGTCAATTATAATTCTATCATTGTGTGTATGTGTTTCCATATTCTACCTTAATAGTTAATGACAAATTATTTTCAAAATTATTTAGCACAAGTACTAAAGTTAGAATCCAATAAAGTATGTACAAGTTATCTTGAATTTACCTCCTTCAAGATAATGGAGTACTAGTCAGTCATAAAGAAGGATAAATTTGAGTCATTTGTAGGAAAATGGAGAATATAATATAGAGGAAATAAGTCAGTCACAGAAGGTTAAATATCTCAAGGTTTGTCTCATATGAGAGACCTAAAATATAAGTAATTTAAAGAGTAAAATAAAAGAGGCATGTTAAGAAACAGGGAGGTAGACTCAGTAAAGATGGGAAGGGGATCTGGAGAAGGAGGGAGAGGGGAAGCCAGGGTGAGAAAGCAGAGTAAAAATGATCCCGATATGAGTGTAATTACTACGTATCACAAACACAGTAATAACTTTTGCTTAAAAAAGACAGGTGCGATATGTTCATATGCCCAAAGGTCTGCAAAAATTTTGTCTTGGCAATAAACAACAGGGCACCAAAATTTAACACAGAACCGGGTGTCATTTACTACTGTTCAATATATTTAATGTTTTCTTAAGAATACAGATTCTCAACATTTCTCATTTCTCGCACAGTGGCCATGTGGGGCTCTTCCCATTTGGAGGTTCCTCTTCTGCAGCCCTGCTCTTGTAGCTCCAAGGCCAGCAGCTCAGGTGCACCCGGATGTCACTCCTCTTCACTCGGCACGGGTGAGCGCTCTGGAGGAAGAACGGACTCGAGTTTCTGCCAGCGCTCTGGAGGCCACAGGATATGTGTGGCGTGGGCATGCAGAAGTCCCAGGGAAACCTGAAACAATGGGAAACACAGAGAAAATAATGAAGAAGCGATTTTGTACAGGGCATCACTGATATCGTGAAATTCGAATTTGATTCAGATCTGATATGCCAGGGAAAGAAGGTAGTGGTTAAAAACAGTAAATACTTGGGCTGGGATGTAGCTCAGTGGTGCCGCCACCTGCCTCGCAAGTGTAAGGTCCTGAGTTCAATCCCCGGTACCAAAAAACCCAAGAAATACTTACATAGCCTTTTACAACTTTGTGTATATAATAGGCACCTTTAATCCTTATAAGAACCATTTGACGTAGGTATTATTATTTCCATTCTATAGCTCAGAAAAGTAATTCCAGAGAGGTTAAGGAATTTGCCAAAGCTACCAAGAACTGAACTCTGGTTTCAACCTGTTTATATAGATGCAGGAGCTACAGATCTAGTTCACAGTTTGGTTTCAGAACTTGTGACAGAATTCCTGTATCTTAGAGAGACTTTCTTGGTTGAAAAAACTATGGAGATCTGGAAAAAAAATTACACATTTTGTGAAAAATATGGTGTACGTCCTGAATGAGCAGCAAGAGTGAGTCGGGGGGCCAGGCAGGGGCCTCCACAGACAGCTTGCTGAGCAACTCTGAGCCAGTGCTCATGGTCAGAGGTGGAAACCAGGGCCAGCCCAACAAGTGAGCTGAGAAGCAAGGGAAAAGTATAGAGATCCTGGCGGACGGTAAAGAACCCCTTGGACGGACATCTGCCAGGAGGCAAGAGCAGGTAAGGGGGAGAAACTGCTCCTGGAGGACTTAAGGCCAAGTCCAGAGGTATAGAGGGACCCTGACACATTTTAGTCTCTCTGAAGACATCAACGTCAGGGAGCGAAAGAATGTGGCAGACTTATTTAAAATGTAGATCGGGGCCTATCCTCAGAGATCACCTTCCAGCTGGTCTGAGGTGGGACCTGGAAACCTGTGTCTTTTTTTTTGTTGTTATTGTTCATACCAGGTAATATTTTCATAGTATTTAGAAGCTTACAAAACATTCATATTTAGCACATATTTATTGAGTACCAGATGTAAATCAGATACCACATGGCCACTGTATCATTTTATTTTCTAATGTTTGTTCTATTTTTTTTTACATAATTAACATACAAATACTGCTTCTATTAAAGCTTCTCTGTCTACCACCAGATGCATTTAAAAAATCAGTTTGCCCACTCAAAGCAGGAGCTAGACATTAGGGAGAGACTCCCAAAAGATAACCAGAAACACAATGTAGGTTTGGGGAGTTTCAGGGGCGACCTTAACAAATTGAAATATAAACCAATAAACCCAAAGGGTAATAAGAAGCCCATGGGCTCAATAAAGGATTTTTTCCTTCAAATTATTTTGAAAATCAAACCTATAGAAAATTTGAAAGTATGGTACAAAACCAGCTCCACTCACCAAAAGCCAAGCAGTTATTGACATTTGGTTGCATTCATTTCTCTCTCATTGAATGTTTATATGTGTATAGGTATAGACATATTTTTTCTGAGCTATTTGAAAATGATTGATATCATGCTGAATTTACCCTTAAATACTCCAACATGTATCTCTTACAAACTAAGATTCTTTCCTATATGAACCCAATATCATTATTATATGCAAGATATTTAATGTTAATACAACAATATTACTTAGTATACAGTCTACATTCAAAATTTTCCAATTGGCCCAACAATGTCATTTTTGGCTATTTTTCTTTTTTAAATTCACCATGTAATCAAAGATCACAAATTGCAATTGGTGGTCATTGTTTACTTCCATTTCCATTTAGTTTATTTTAACCAGGTGTCCAAGACAGTTGTCCCACAAAAGGTTCCATATCTAGAATTGCATGATTCACTTCCCTCATAGATAGATGCAAGTTAAATGTTTTTGGCAAAAATAAACTCAGTACTGTATTTTTCCTTTCTATAACATTGGGAGGGGCATAAAATACCAGTTTGTTCCACTGTTGTAATGCTGTTTGGTAGCTTGACAAAGGTGATAGAGAACAGATTTCACCATTCATAAGCACATCTTTTCTTGTAATTAATATTAATCTGTGAGATATTCTGAAATGTCAGCAGCATTTCACCTCTCAGTTTTATCATGCATCAATGATCCTGCTTTAATTAGTCATTACATGAGGGATTACAAAAACAATGCTTTTTCTCCATGTTTCTTTTATATTTATTAGCTGCCATTGTTCTCTAAAAACAAGCGCTTCCTCTTTCTCAGCCCCAACTTCTCGTATTTTAATACTGAAGATTTCTTTTTTAAGTCAAAATCTATTACTTTCTTTTTTATGTTGGATGCTCAGTGTGCTTACCTTGTACCTTGTGCCTGTTTCAGCTGCAAACAGATGTTTCCTTAAAGGATCTTATTTTCTTTAAGCAAGGAATATCATTTAGAAACCAAAGTCAGCTACTAGATTTGCTTATAGTTCCTGGGTGTCAATTAACTCTTTCAGAGAATAAACAGCACCAAAAGGCACTCCCTCACCTCCTCCATTCTATATTTTCTCCCCTTTGCCCCAACTAAGCACCCTGGCTTTCTGCAACTGAACACATTCATTCTTTTATACTTTCCTAAAACACACACACACAATAGTTTTAGGATGACTATAACCACCACCCCAAATAAATTTATTGAGCAAAAGTCAAGATTTCTTGGCAATTATTATGGCTGTTTTATTAGTTCATTTTGTGTTCCCAGTACCTGAACACCACAGACTGGTGAGTTAGAAAGTGGTTTGCTTCGTCTCACGGTTCTGGGGGTAGGTGCACAGCTGAGGAGTCCCATCTAGTGAGAGCTGTCATGATGACAGAGTCCTGATGTGGCATGGGACACGACAGCAGGAGACAGGGTTGCCTCTGTATATGTGACTGTCTGGTCTTCTTATAAAGTCACTGGGATTCTGTCCCGGGGGGTTGGACTCAGACTCTCATGTCAATCATCCCTGAAAGGTCCCACCTCCAATCTCCACAGTGACATTGTTTCGACCCTCTTAATAGTGCACGAGGGGGCTTAAACTCCAGCATGACAAGGAGGGCAGCAAACAACTTTCTAACCCTAGCAGTTCTTAAAGTACATCTCATTTTAAGGAGTTTGGCAGCGTCCTTTGCTCCAAGTTAGTTTCAATCACTTCCTTTTTTTCCCTCCAATATATACGGTGGACTCTCGAGTTACAACCGACCTGACATATGAACAACTTAGGTTACCACCAGAATTTTAGTTTTAACTTACGAACAGAGTCTTGAGTTATGACCCAAATGCTGGCTGTTTGTGCTTCCAGATGGTCTCAGATACAGATTTAACCCTTAAAGAGTTCTAGAGGGAACATTATAACATCCTTTCCTGTGTGGGGTTAATTGAGAAATTCTGGGCCAGTGTCTCTCTAAAGACATTGAGATCTGCCTGTACACAGGAGAAAGACTGTGAAGGCTGTGGAAAGGAGCCTGGGCCCTCAATTGACCAACCTGAGTTACAGCTATCCCGGGAGAACAAATTGAGTCTGTAAGCCAAGGGTCCACTGTAGTAAGCTACTGTTTCATGTACAGGTTCCTTTGTTTCTATTTATATTCAGCTTTGGACTTCGCTCTTGTTACTTTGTTTGATTCAGTATTATTCTTCAATGTATAAACATTTACATGGCTCAAAAGTAAAAATTATTTTGAAAAAGTGTATTAGACACAATGATGCCTCCTCCCCAAATGCCCGCATCCTGTCAGAACTTGTGAATATTACAAGGCAAAGGGGAATGGAGGCTGCTCATCAGTTGAGTTTAATGAGAGTATTCTGCATGATAAAAGGGACCCAATTTCAGCACAAGGGTCCCTACATGTGAAAAGTATTTAGAATATATTCCAGACCATCCTCAGCACCCATGCTAATAGTGTAAAGGGACAGGAGAATTCCCTAGGCCTGAATGATCCGTCCTAGCATAACAGTAGTTTTCATCTAGGTTTGTTCTAGTTTGGGCTCAACTGAGTTTGACAACAGCTGGTCTCATTCTCTTCCAAAATAACCTTTTTTATATTTGATAACTGCTACTCTGTTCTATCTCAAGCCTTTCCCTTGCTTTTCCAAGTTGTTTAACTTTTTTCATAAGAATGATTTGCCAATCTTTTAACTTGGCTGAACTCTTGCCAATATTTGCTTGCTTGCTTAGTTTCAGAGCTCAGGTTTGGACACAGTGATTTAATTCTGGCTTTTAAATAAACAATTATTTCCCTGAAACTAATTTATGGTTCTTTTATTCCAAACATTTATTAAAGATACTACTCTTGCTTCCTGAAAAACATAATCTTCAAAACTATGAATAATGGTAAGCATTCTATCAGATAGATAATATCCATATTGAACATAAACATGATATGAAAATGCAAAATCCAGTTTTATTTAAAATACTAACTAATATAAAGAAAAGAGCCTATTCACTAACTTCATTATCTTGTCATGGATGTTTATTTTTTGTTGATAGGTCTACAGACATGCAAAGAGTATAGTGAATATAGAAGGATATAAAAATCCAGAAATATATGAACATTTTCAAATTAAAAGTTATGCTACAGGAACAGCTTTGCCTTCCACACCTGCAGTATTAATTAGGGTTCTCCAGAAAAACACAACAGGATGTGTATATATAAGGAGATTTATTTTAAGGAATTAGCACATGTGATTGTGGAGGCTTGGCAAAGTCTAAAATCTGATAGAGAAGACTGGCAGACTGAAGACCCAGGGAAAACATGCACTGTGAGTCCAAAGGCCATCTATGGGTGAACTGGGAAGACCTGAGGCTGTGGACAAGATGCCAGGCTTTCTGTGGGCTCATTTCTTCTTGCTCAGAGAAAGTCAGCCTCCTGCTCTATTCATTCCTTCCACTCATTGGAGGAGGCACACCCACATTACAGGATAATTTGTTTTACTCAGCACTCACTAATTTAAAATGTAAGTCAATCCCAAAATTCTCTCACAGAAACATCCAGAATGTTTG